GAATGGATACAGTCAGAGGCTGGGTTAGTTTTAGGCACTCTCCGGAATGGATACAGTCAGAGGCTGGGTTAGTTTTAGGCAGTCTCCGGAATGGATACAGTCAGAGGCTGGGTTTGTTTTAGGCACTCTCCGGAATGGATACAGTCAGATGCTGGGTTAGTTTTAGGCACTGTCCGGAATGGATACAGTCAGAGGCTGGGTTAGTTTTAGGCACTGTCCGGAATGGATACAGTCAGAGGCTGGGCTAGTTTTAGGCACTCTCCTTAATGGATACAGTCAGAGGCTGGGCTAGTTTTAGGCACTCTCCAGAATGGATACAGTCAGAGGCTGGGTTAATTTTAGGCACTACCCGGAATTGATACAGTCAGAGGCTGGGTTAGTTTTAGGCACTGTCCTGAATGGATACAGTCGGAGGCTGGGCTAGTTTTAGGCACTGTCCTTAATGGATACAGTCAGAGGCTGGGTTAGTTTTAGGCACTACCCGGAATTGATACAGTCAGAGGCTGGGTTAGTTTTAGGCACTGTCCGGAATGGATACAGTCGGAGGCTGGGCTAGTTTTAGGCACTGTCCTTAATGGATACAGTCAGAGGCTGGGTTAGTTTTAGGCACTGTCCGGAATTGATACAGTCAGGAGGCAGGTAAGTTTTAGGCACTCTCCGGAATGGATAAAGTCAGAGGCTGGGCTAGTTTTAGGCACTCTCCGGAATGGATAATGGCTTAGTGTTAGGCAGCCTCCTTACTGGTTACAGTCAAGGGCTGGGTTAGTGTTAGTCTATATACAAAATGTGGTGCTCCTTGTGGAGACGGAGTATCTTTCCAAGAGTGGTCACATGAGAAAAGAAGAGGAGAAAAACAGGAGAACCCTTATAGTGTAGTTGGTGCGAACAAAAATCAATCAAAGGTGTATTCCTTGTATTAGAAAGAAACCTGGAAGGTGCGTTTGTGGAGAATACATCTGTCACACAGTAGAGGTCACGCTCAAAGCTGTGGAGGGAGCCCAATTCGAAACAACTCACCAATAACTATTTCTAAGAACTAGACAGGTTGTCTCCATGATCTCTTTACCCTTTTGAGGAGTTGAGAAATTGCATTATGCTTGGCTGGCTACTGTACTATAATACAATAATACAACACTGCAGCACAACATACTAAATATTACTAAATGAGTGTCAAGCTGTAAATCAGAGGTCCTCAAACTTCTTAAACAAAGGACCAGTTTGCCGTCCATTAGACTGGGGGCTGGGTTGTGGCCAGTGGCAGTGAAGCCGAATGTGCACATGTCGAATTTCGGCCGGTTCCTGCTGAATCTGCCAAAATTTGCATCGTGAGTGCCGCTGTCGGCTCCCTTACGCCCGGCATCCCTCAATCAGCTGATTGAAGGAGCAAGTTGTAAAATTCTCGTCTGAACTGGCTGGCAGCCGCAGTCAGAATACAATGCTAACAGCGAGGGATTCGTTGATGGAGGAATCCGTTCTATTTTATTTATTCAGCCTACGGGTTAACTAAAAAAAATAGACCCGTGTATACCCAGTTTAAGGGCTGCAACTGTGTTGGTCAATGGAAGTTAAAAGAAAAAAATTCCCTGTGGTAGCGGTCAGTGGGAGGAAAAAAAAATTGAACTGGGTTGGCAGTCCGTAGGAGTAAAAAAATGCTCCTGTGTTTGCGATCAATGCCCCTGTATCGTTGGGAGTAAAAAAAATCCTCTGCGTTAACAGCCAGTGGGAGTTAAAAAAAAATGCCTCTCTGTTGGCAATCAGGTTGTCAATGATAATAACAAAATGCCCATGAATTGGTGGTAACTGGGACTAATGAATGCCCAAGCGATCAGTGGGAGGAATAGTGCACCCTCAATGGTGTCAGATTTTGAATCGCCTCCTCAGCAATGGCATTCAGTGGCACTTACCTTTCAAAACGCTCCATGTTCACTATGCTCCTCTACTAACTGGATGACGTCACAGCCAGACATATGCAGGCACCACCGGGCAGGATATCACTCCCTCCAATACTGCCTAACATATACACTATACTGCCAAAAGTATTGGGACGCCCCTCCAAATCATTGGATTCAGGTGTTCTGTGAAATTTCCTTGCTACTAAATATTCCACAGTCACCTGTTAGTGATATTATAACAAACTTCAAGCTGTTATAGCGGCAAAGGGTGAGCCAACTTAATATTGAACCCTACGGACTAAGACTGGGATGCCATTAAAGTTCATGTGCGTGTAAAGGCCGGCGTCCCAATACTTTTGGTAACATAGTGTATCTGTATATAGGGGCTTCCTTGGGCATGCAGTGAGAGATCCCGGCATGCAGGGCTTTTTTTTTATTGCAAATGGTGTTTTGCGGCAAGCAGCGGGCTCTAGTCTGAGGAAGCTGATATAAATACTCTGAACTTTTTTACTGTTATATAGTTCTCATTGCCGGAATTTAATGATTGGAATGCTCTTACCTGTAGTCTTAGTACTAACCCTCAATAAAAGTGTTTAAAAGGCCAAATTATTCATTTTAGAGATATGATTATCACTGTGTCTATGTCTGTGAAATAGTTATCACCGTGTCCATGTTTTATCACAGGTATATGCTTGTAGCCCACAATGTCCAATTTTGTCTTTTATCTGTTTTTTTTTTTTTATTCTAGTGAAGATAAAAAGAAAGTAAAACCACAGCGGACGCTGATTATGGCTGATGGACGCGCACTGAATGTTAATGAGCCCAAGTAGGTGACTGATGAAATCCGGAGGAATGAATAATGTTTCGGAGCAGGAGATGATCTAGTTTCCCAGTTTTAATAAGGAACCTTTGTGTTCAGAAATGATTTCACAATTCACACTGTTTCCAGTCAATGGTACTGTTAATACTACAGCATAAAAAGACATTTTAGACTAGGGGTAGACAACCTCAGCACTCTCATCATGCCTCTGGGAGTCATGCCTATGTCTTTCAGAGTCTTGCAATGACTCAGGGGACTTATAGTTCCATAACAGCTGGAGTGCTTAGATTGCCTACCCCTATTTTAGACCATTGTGCTCTTAGCTAGGGAGTAGCTAATTATTCAAGCTACTATTGCTGACAGGCTGGTGCTGTCTCCTTAAAAGAGAACTATGGGGTAAGTGTTGTTCCCATAGTTCTCCTAAGGGTCATGGGAGGACATATACTGGCCTCCTCCCGTGACCCAAAGCTCAGTATATCGTGAGCTACAGCTTGCGGTATACTGAGACCGCCGCAGTCTCTGTATACCGCAACAATGCTGACGAGATCCACCCAGCTGCGTGAGCGACAGCTGGCTCTGCCTATCTAGAGGCTGAGCCAGCTGTGCCCGCCCCCTCCCCCGTCCGTTCCGCCAGTCAGCGCTGGAGGATCGGAGAGGAGAGGGGGGATCCCTGTGGGGAGCGGTGACTGACAGTCACGGCTCTCTGCAGGGAGATCTAGAAGTGAGCGAGCGACGGTATGTGTTCGCTCACTTCCCGATCTATTGAGCCGACGTGTAACAGTTTCATTGTCATACGTCAGCTCGAACTATGAGGATGAGTGATTTTCACTCACCTCATAGTTCTCCTTTAACTAACTTTACTACTTGTTGAAGAACTGACCTGTCTGTATTTGTTGTCAGGACATGCTTGTTCCAGATCAGTGACTCACTAAGTAAAGTAGCAAAATAAATATAATGGCTACAGAATCAGCAATGACAGCTCTTGTATGTTTGTCCTAACTGGTTGCTCTTTAAACAGTACCAGTATTTTCTCATTTACAGAGAGGTGACACTTTTTCCTCCAGCTCTTTGCAAAGAGCACTAAGTCATTAATGCCAGTCCCTTCTGCTTAAATGAGAACTATGGGGGTCAAGGCTTTTCCCCATAGTTTTTCTTAGGGTAATGGGAGGACACAAACTAGCGTCCTCCCGTCACCCTAGGCTCGGTATACCGCATGCTGTAGCTCGCGGTATACTGAGACGCAGCAGTATACCGCGAGCTGCTGCTCGCAGTATACTGAGACGCGGCAGCTGAAGCGGATCCCGACAATTGTGCCGGGATCCACCCAGCTGCGTGACTGACAGCTGGCTCTGCCTATCTAGAAGCAGAGCCAGCTGTACCCGCCCCCTCCCCCGTCCGTTCCGCCAGTCAGCGCGGGCGGATCGGTGCGGGCAAGAGGGGAATTCAGCCCCTCCCCTGTCATGGCAGAGAGCCGTGACAGGATCGAGAGGTGAGCGAACGCCGGTATGTGTTCGCTCACTTCCCAATCTACTGAGCTACCTGTGACAGTCTCATTGTCACAGGTCAGCTAGAACTATGAGGTGAGTGAAAAGCACTCGCCTCATAGTTCTCCTTTTTAAAACTGAAAAATTCAGAGATCTGCGTAATGTGAATAATGTTAGATTAATATTGTGCAAGGCAGTGACCTGTCCCTTGATGTGGCCTGTCCCTTGATGACACTTGTCACATGTGGTTCTACTATGACAGACAGCAGTGGAAGAGTGCAGGGGCAGAGACATGCACATTGTTTTGTTTGACTGTTCATAGATTTGTGTTGGGATAAGGTCTGCATAGACAAAGTGCAGGTCATAAGCTTTGACATTTCTATACATTTACCAGTTTCTAAAGAAGGATGCAGCGGTATGTGACATGGTCTGCCTTTTCACTATGCTCCACTTCAGAAAGTGCCCCATTGTACCATGTTTTTGTTTCTCTCTCAGGCTGGATTTCTCTTTGGTCGATGACGAAGACAACAATCAGTTCATTCTGGACTTGGCCATCTACAGGTATTTTTGCCATGAGTGCAATGATTCTCATGAGCAGACCTGATTTTATAAAAGCAGTTGGATCAATTTCCCGTTCCATATTATTCTTTAGTAGGACTGTTACTGATTACAATTTTCGTGTTCGATTAATCACATTTTTTTCTAATCGATTAATTTCGATTAATTATAACGCACATACAGATCCAACTACATTGGCCTATACACATACAGCACAGCAATGAAGTAATAAAATGAACTAGGATCACACTAATCCAGCACGTTATTAATCTCACGTGCCCCACTCAATTTGGCCGCCGCTTGAGTGGGGCAACTCAGAATAATAACGTGCTGGATTAGTGTGATCCTAGTTCATTTTATTACTTCATTGCTGTGCTGTATGTGTATAGGCCAATGCCTTGGCTGGTGCTCGTGCAGAGAGTTTTAAAAAAATGTAATCGATCAAATTTTTTTTAACCGATCAAAAAGATTAACGATTAATCGAGAAATTAATCGTTAATTTGCACAGCCCTATTCTTTAGTAATTATAACAGTGGATACCATTCGTTTTGAGAAAGTTGGCCAACACTTTTTTCATTTTTATTTGTTTTGCCATTATCTGCTCTTATAATAGGGTATTCCAGAGAAGCTTAACATGTTAACTTTTGCTTGACAGGCATCTGGACATCTCGCTGGTCGATGTTGATGTTCAGCCCACCTATGTGAGAGTGCTGGTGAAAAATAAGGTACAGTCAACCGGTAAACAGCAAATGCTCCCACTGTCAATACATTCAGAAGGACAGGACTGCAGCAGATTGAGGTCCATGTGCAGCAGTCACTCAACAGGAATGCAGTGAACCTGCAGAGATAATCTTTGTGGTTTCTGGGTCCAGTACACACTACAGCAATTAAAGTGATTGTCAAACCAAACACTCTTTTCCTAGTTTTGGATAGAGTGGGGAAGGATTAGAAATCCTGTATGGTTTTTACTGCTGTTCTTGAATCTATTAAAAAGATTAAATCTCACTTTCTGTCCCTCCGACAACGTTTTACTAGACAGGAAGTGAGGGGACATCTGTCCCAATAGGGACCCTATTATAACGTGGGGTTATGATTTGGCTTTCTGAGCCCTTCAAAAACCGTCTTTTGAACCTATTGGGATTTCCCCCCCCCCTTTCTCACAAAATGTCTTTCCTTGTTGCCATCCACTCTGTAAGGCATGTGCTTGAGCTGGCTGCTCTGTCCTGTTAAGAACCTTTTCTGGTCTTACACAAGGACAAGTTGGTGTTAACGCCAAGAGTCTCCTTCGTTTCTAAGGCGTTTTTGCAGGTTTACCTCGCATCCACTGCTTCCATTGGGATCATTGACTCTCTTTTTTGTCATCCCTGATGTAAAGAGGAACCAGCCTCGCACTCCACCATTTGGGGGTTTAGACAAATCACCATTCAAGCTAATGTTCTTAAGGATCGTGTACCAGACTTTACTAGATCTGTGAAGGTCTCTTGGGCTTTTCGGTATCTGGTAACTGTTTCCCAATTTTCAAGGCCATCACCTAGTCTTCTGTTCACACATTCTTTAAGTTTTACCAGGTGGATGTTCATACCTCATCTGATACCAGCTTCGGGCTTAAGGTCCTCCAAGCAGCTCTTTATAGTAGGCATGTTAGCAGTTTGTTTGCTGTGTTGCCTACCCAGGGCCAGATTTACTCTCTGCTGCTCCAAGGCCAGGTTCCTCAATGCGCCCTCCTACCCACCAAACTCGCCACACATACAAGTGATCTCGGCGACATCACCGGGATCACTTGTACAAAACAAGTGGCGGCTTCCCCGCTGTACATTTAGCTCTGCTGGCCCAAAGCAAAGCTAAATGTAGAAAACAACTACCGGCCCTGCGCCCGGAACTACATGTCCCGCGCCCGGAACTACATGTCCCGCGCCCGGAACTACATGTCCCGCGCATCGGGAGATAGAAATTCCACACCCCTGCTGCCCCTCTACTCCCTGCTCCTCTAAGGCCGGGCCTTGGTTGGCCTTGTGGGAAATCCGGCCTTTGGCCTACCCCTCAGTTGGACTGCTTTTTGCAATTGTCTCAGAATTATGTTTACCTCAATGAACGAGAGAATATAGGATTTTTGTACTCCAAAATCCTTTTCTTGGAGTTAATTGAGGGACATAGGTACCACCCCTCTGTGTTTGTGATCTTACCCCTAGTACTGCTCTGCACAACTGAGGCATGCTGGGAGTGGGAGGGGTTATACAACGCTGACCACTGTTTTCTTTGTTTGCCAGTGCCCATATCCTCGTGTAAGCGGCAGTATAACCCAGCTGTCTCAGATTCCTGTGTCCCTCAATGAACTCCAAGAAATGGATTTGACATTGAATATGCACATCCTGTTCTTTAGTAGAGTGAGAAAGGGTTAGTTGTCCCAAACATGTTTCTATACCAGTCCATACCTTCTTTTCCTGGTGACAACAGATCCCTCCATTTCTTGTACAGGTGTCACAGGAACAGGAAGTAATGGAAAATCTCACCAATGGATTAGAGCCAGAAGTAAAAACCTGGCAGAAAATGTAACTCTTCACCACTCTATCCAAAACTAAATTTTTTTTGGCTAAAGTAAAAATTTAAGCAACCTTCCTACATAGTTCTCGGCTATGCTTGCACCACCCAGCTGCCATACCTATATGTTTGCACGTGGAGTACTGCAGAACAAGGGGATTCTCAGCCACGCTCATAGAGGTGCCAGCAAACATGCCCACATGTGACACTGTCACATATAGGATCCCAAGCAACCACATGCATGTCAAGAACAAACAGAATACTTCCCTTTCCCACATCACTGAATTCTGCTCTGATCTTGAGAAATCATCCCCAAAAGTCCACAGGGAAACCAACATTTCTAGGAGAGTCAGTCTCTTGGGTTCCCTGCAGTTCACACTGGTTCTTCCTGCTGACCTCTGCATAACTGCTCTGTCCTGTGGAGGTCAGGGCAAGGAATCGTGAGCTCTACAGGGGACCCAGGAGATAGACAATTCTTAAGCATTGGTTTCCCAGTAAACTACGTGGGTGATTTCTCAGCAGTGGAGCAGCATTTTGTGGCACTGCAGTGTGAAAGGTAAGTATTCTGCTCTTCTATACAAGTCATATGTTCTTGCTTGGGACCTTTTAATGATATGTCGGGGTCGCTATAAACAGCGAAATCAGGCAAATGTTCTGTAATATCTTTAGTCCTTGTTTCTGAGGTCCTGTATGTTTGTAAGGAATGAAGTACAGTGTTGGCTACATGCTCAGATAATTCACTGCTCCCTGGCCTGCTCATGCGGCTTGGCAGGGAATTGAGTTGCAAAATTATTTGCAATCTGCCACTTCCTGCCTCTCATTTAATCAATCAGTCGCCACACAAGGGAATACGGTCTGCCATTTCCGTTATATCGGTCCTGCTCTGGGATTTGTCAGCGCTGCAGGCTGTGCTGTGACAGAAGTAATGTAAGAAATGTTTTCTAGAGGACTGGAGAGTAAATATACTGTACAAATTGCAATACGGTGGTTCCAACATGTATTTAAAGTGTGACACCACTTTGTTTTATGTGTGCATTGCATATGAACTCCAGACTTGACTGTAGGCTCAATTCACACTGCTAACACATCAGCTTAAGGATCCATATTGATAGTGTAATTTCAACATACATTTAAACTAGGGATGCACCGATACCGGTTTTCCGGTATCGAGTACGAGTATCTTTCGGTATTTGCCGATACTGAGTACTGATACCGTTAATTCCGCTAGCATGGAGCCAGCTTTAGGTAAAAAACCAGCACTGGCTACGACTAAGGCCCAGTTTGGGGGCTAAAACATGTAAGCATGTGTTGGCTTGCTGCTGTTATGCCTTTTTACAAATAAAGTACTAGATGGACGGACCCCCTTGCGAGTGCCGTTTTTTTACCTAGCGCTCTACTATTTACTATTGCCTTTACCAAAGACTCTGGCGGAAACTTTACCAGGCACCGAGATTCAAGCAGCGGGATTGGAGAGAAGAGGGTAGAGCTGCTCAATGTTTCTAAACTGCATGGAGCCACCTTCCTGGCCAATCAGGAAGCCGGGCAGTGTGTCATTACCTGCTGCGTGGCTTCTTGATTGTCTGGTAAGCTGATCGCATGCTGTTTGGCTGACTCAATGCCGATTGGCCTGGGAGCCAGCTTCCCAGCCCGCTATATGCCGACAGCGACGCAGCCGGGACGGATCCCAACAATGCTGTCGAGATCCACCCCGCTGGTTGATTGACAGCTGTCTCTGCCGATCTAGAGGCAGAGCCAGCTGTGCTCGCCCACTTCCCTGTCTGTCCATCCAGTCAGCACTGGAGGATCGGAGAGGGGGGAATCCCTGCGGGGAGTGGTGACTTGACAGTCACCGATCTCTGCAGGGAGATAATCGGGGAAGTGAGCGAGTGCCGGTATGTTTTCACTCAATAGAGCTGATGTCTGACAGTGTCAATGTCACACGTCGGCTCTATCTATGGGGTGGGTGTAATTCTCTCACCTCATAGTTCTTCTTTAAGCTTGTTGCTTCTTGGTTGTTCCATCTGAAAACCATGGCCATTGTTATGGAGGTGCCCCCTTTGCAGCTATAACACTCCATTCTTCTGGGAAGGCTTTTCACAGGATTTTGGAGTGTATCTGTGGGAATTTAGGCCCATTCAGACAAAAATTTTGAGGTCGGGTTCTGATGTTAGATGAAATGATCTGACTTACAATTGGCGTTCCTGTTCATCTCAAAGGTGTTCAGTAGGGTTGAGGTCAGGGCTCTGTGGTGGCCACTTGAGTTCCTGAACACCAAACTCATTAAACCAAGTCTATATGGAGCTGGCTTTGTGTACAGGGGTACAGTCATGAGGGGACAGAAAAGGGCCTTTAGTATTATTAGGGTCACAGTGTAATCTTTAAGTTCTTTCCTTTGCTTTCTATGCTTTCCATTTTTCTTGGCATTCATTTACCTCCTTGCATAGGGAATTATTATTTTTTTCTAAAGCTTTTAAAAGCACAATGCCAATGTATAAATAATGGATTTACTGCAATTCATTGTTTTTCATCTGTCCATTTTTCTCTTCATGTGTCAGCCGTTCCAGCTTGTGCTTCCTTGTGAAGTGAGACCAGACAGCAGCGCTGCCAAGAGATCCCAGACAACTGGCCATTTGGTGGTCACAATGCCAAAGGTATGTAAAGTCCATATGGTCTTTTTTTTTTCTCCTTGATGTTTTGCTGGAAACCGTCCTAGTAAAATGATGGCAGGGAGACGCAAGCTACAAGGAGAATAAATCACATTGTAATAACCATTTATGTCCTGTTAATAAATGTATTTTAAAGAAGAACTATGTGATGAGTGAAATACACTGTGCCCCATTGTTAGAGGCAACGTGGGTTCTATTGATTGAGAACTGATCACATACCACTGACTGCTCAAGTCACGATTTTCTCCCTATCAGTCACCGCTCCCTACAGGGATTCCCCCCCTCTACAATCCTCCAGCGCTGACAGGGGAGGGGGCATCAGAGCTGGCACTATCAATCAGGTATCAGGGTGGCTATCAATCAGGTAGCAGGGTGGATCTATGATCCATGACAAATCTCAGCAATCCATGATTATTCAGCAATAGAGGACTACATATAGCATCACTCCATGATTATACAGCAGTTATACAGGGCTGCGTGTAGATCTCACTGGGGCTGCATTTGTGTCACACCAGGGCTGAATTTGGGTCTCACCTGGGCTGCGTTTGGGTCTCACCAGGACTGCGTTTGGGTCTCACCAGGACTGCGTTTGGGTCTCACCAGGGCTGCGTTCAGATCTCACCAGGGCTGCGTATGGGGTCTCACCAGGGCTGCATTTAGGGTCTCACCAGGGCTGCATTTAGGGTCTCTCCAGGGCTGTAACGATGGCTCTCAGTGGGCAGGTGCTCGGCTCTCCAGGGCTCTGTGGGTGGGTGCCGGGCTCTGTGGGTGGGTGCCAGCTCTCCAGGGCTCTGTGGGTGGGTTCCGGGCTTGTGCTGGGCTCTGCGGGTGGGTGCCGGGCTCTGTGGGTGGGTGCCGGCTCTCCAGGGCTCTGTGGGTGGGTGCCGGGCTCGTGCTGGGCTCCAGGGCTATACGTGCGGGTGTCGGGCTGTCCTTTGCTGTGCCAGTCTTGGGAAGGAGCAGGAGGTGATGTGCGGCTGGAATAGCACTGCCAAATACAGTTACTGCAAGCAAGGGACCTCAGGCAGCCGCTCATGTTTTAAAATGTAAAGGATCGGTATGGGCCTTTAGTATCACGAGTACATGTACTCGTGAACATGCCCTGTATAGATCTCATGCCCTGTATAGGCCCCAAAACCGATACTAGTATGAGTATCGGGACATCCCTATAATAGACTGATTATCATTTTTGCCCGGAGTGGCACTTTAATCAGCAGGCAAATGTTTGATAAATAAGCCTGCACAACATTGAATATTCAGATCTCTGCGTAAACCTTATTGTGCCTAATTCTCTGTCATTTAGGAATAAACCTGAATTTTGTATAGAACTGTTTAGAAATCTAGTAGAACACAGAGTTTGCTGAACTGTATTTAAGTAACAGACGCATACTCCCGCAGTTAATCTCGATCAGACCCGACAATCCCCTCCGCAAAGTCGGCAGCAGGAAATGTTAATCTGTCAGTAATTTGTGATTGCTGCACAGGAAACTTCCTCTGAATGCGGTGAAGTGGATTTGCTTAGAAAGTGTTTTGTGACTGCGTAGGTGTAAGCTGTTCTGTGTATGTCTGCAATCTGATTTCCACAGCTTGCACGACTTTCACTTTCTTACAGGATTTGTAAGTCGTGTCCTTTACTGATGTACCAGAGAAAATGACTATAATAACCAGGGCCGGATTTACTCTCCCTGCCGCCCTAAGGCCAGGTTCTGCGTTATCCCGGGCACCACTGTTCCCCCTGCGGGCCCGGGATCAAGAACACTGGCACAGCGGCTGTCTATACTGAGAAGGAGGAGAAATCAGCATTGCCCCACCGCTGATCTCTCCTCCTCTCTCTCTCTATAGGCGGAAGTGATGCCTATTAATCACTTCCGCCTTCAGCTGTCATATCTCTGCCTCCTATAGCCAGAGAAGAAGCTGGGGATTCAGGTCCCTGCTTCGTCAGCTTCTTTGGGGGTCACAGGTGAAATTAGGGGATGTCTCTATAAAGAGGACCTGTCATTGTATATTGGCTATCACATAGGGGGCTTTTTAGTCCACTATGTGATAGCAATTAAGTTAAGTGCAAAAAAAAATGAGGTCAGGATCCACAGCTATCAGGTACATAATTGAGAAGGGTGGGCCATTAAAGCAATGATAATTTGTAGGGATGCACTGATACCGGTATTTCGGTATCGAGTACGAGTACCGATATTTTTTTTTCGGTACTCAGCGATACCGAATACTGAATATCGGAAATCCCATTCAGGAAGCCAGGCGGTGTGTAATGACTCGCCACCTGGCTTACTGATTAGCCAGGAAGCAGGGCAGCGTGTAAAGACTTGCCACCCGGCTTCCCGATTACCAGGGAAGCCGTCCCCAAGCTTCTCTTCACTAGGTGACGAGAAAGCATGGAGCCGGCTTTCTGGCCAAGCAGGAAGCCGGGCACTGTGTAATGATGCGGCACCCAGCTTCCTGATTGGCCGGGAAGCCGGCTCCATGCTCCCTCATCATGAGGTGGCGAGGGAGCATGAAGCTGGATTTTTGACCAATCAGAAAGCCAGGCTGGCTGTCATTTCACACTGCCCAGCTTCCTGATTGGCCGGGAAGCAGGCTCCATGCTCTCTCATCACAAGTGACGAGAGATCATCTAGTGGCAATCAGGAAGCTGGGCAGCGTGTAATTAACGCATTGCCCGCCTTCCTGATACCGGAAGTATCGGGCTAGGCATTGGAGCATTTGGGCGAGTATGAGTACTCGCCCAAATACTGGCCATCGGTACCGATACCGATACTAGTATCAGTATCGGTGCATCCCTAATAATTTGTACAGGTTGGCTATACTGTGCTGTACAGTGTACCTGTTACACCCGGCCAGAGAAATACACCGGGACTTGCGCTGTATGGCCGTCTTGCAGGAGAGCGGAAGAGTTCTTCTAGTTTTCAGTACACAAGTTTATCTGTGAATGGTGAATGTATGAGGTGCTTTTTACTCTCTTTTGCTTCATCTTCCTCACTGGTTTAGGTTTTGATCTTCTGCTTTTTTAACAATTTATTTCTGTATTTTTGTCTGCATTTCCTTGTTTTTATGTTTCTTCATAATCTTTTCCTTTTTCTTCTTCGTAATCAAACTTTTATTCCCTATATATGGAATCTTTAATATACAGGATGGGAAAAGGAGTGTAAGGGCCCATTTACACAGGATCCATTGTGTTGCAATACGTTTTGCAATGGATGCTAACAGATGGGCACCAAAAAATGAATTGGTGTGAATGGTGCTAGTTTACATCTCTCCGTTCCGTTGTGCTGTTATGTTGCGCTGAAAAAAAATTAGCTGCAGTACTTTTTTTCAACGTAACATAACGGATCCGGTGTGAAGTAGCCCCATTCACACTAGGGATGTTCAGATACCAAGTACTGTACTCGGTACAGGTACATGTACATGTGCAGATACTTTTCCAGCTCCAAGACTAGACTAGAGAAAAAAAATTAAGGAGGCAGCTGTCATTTGTAAGGATCACACGGAGCTCCTGGGATTTGTACATCTCTGTTTTAATGTATGATTTTGGTTTTATAAATATATATAAGTGATGCACCGATACCATTTTTCTTTCAAGTACAAGTCCTGATACTCGCCCACATCCTCACAGATACAAGTACTGATACCTTTTAATGATTTCAGGACCGTGGTAGAGCACCAGAACCAGAGCCAGGTCCCAGCTGCAACCCTGGTAGTTCTCATGAAAATGCCAAGTATCATCACTGGTATCTGAACTGCTATCTGAAGATCCCTAATTCACACCCATTCATTTTCCATGCATATCCATTAGCATCCATTGAAAAATGATGGATCGGAAAGAAATCAGAAGGTACAATTGCAAGTCAACGGACCCTCTGTTGACTTGTCATTTCTTTCTGATTTTGGTGTGAATGCACCATAAAGAAGAAGTATTGTGAGAGTTAAATACAGTGATACCTCAGTTCACAAACACTTCTGTTCGCGAACAGGAAGTGTGGCAAAATTTTGCTTCCGTTCGCGAACTCCGCATTGGGTGACGAACACAACCACAGTCATCTTCCCTGCTCTGACACATGGTCGTGGCTTCCTCTAGTCAAGATCGCAGTCTGATCACAGTTTGATTCGGTTCGCAACCAATTTCGTTCGCAACCAGAATCGTGGAACAAATTAAGTTTGTGAACCAAGGTACCACTGTATACTCTTCTCAATAAATAGATCCGGCATGTAACATTGCAGATGTCACACGGCGGCTCTATAGACCAAGATCTGAGCAAACGTGACCGTGGATGGCTCAGCTCAGTCTTCTCCTTGCAGAGAGTGGTTACTGTGAGTCACCTATCCCCCCAGAGTTTCCTTCCCTCCCCTGTCTGTCCCTCCAATGAGCACTGGAGGAACAGAGAGGGGTGGGCACAGCTGGCTCTGGCTCTAGAGAGGCAAAGACAGCTGTCAATCAGGCAGCCGGGTGGATCCCAGTAATATTGTCGGGATCCGTCCTAGCTTCACTGTCACTGTCAGCACATAGCGTGCAAAAGCCCCCTATATGCTGACTTTGGGTCACAGTAGTACTTTAGAAAATGTACTCCTGTGACACAAAAGGCAAATGAAGCCAAAAAAAAAAAGGTTTGGCTTAAGTTCTCTTTTAAATTCCCATAATCCAATGTCATGTTTTTAACAGTGTTTTGTAACTTTTTTTATACATAGTTAAACATGATGTGGAGATTGTGATCTCTAGATTGACAACAGCTGGTCCCAATTTGGCCTGTATAAAGAAGGGGGGGTTGCCTTTGGAATGGAGGTTAAGATTCTAGGAGATTACTCTGAGTAAGTGCTATTTAGCGTGAAATGCATTCGAAATCTTATGCCGCCTGCATGTACCCCATTTTAATACAAGAAAGTTTGCATCTAATGCTGGGTTGTGCCGTCATCCGTTGTTTGGCTGAAATAGGTTACTTAGTAAACACTGGCTCTCATTAAGGGGTACATAACTCAATACAGCTGAGAAACACTGCGCCGGACTCTAGAGAGAATTAAAGCGTTGTTATTTTTAACCTAATTTAATACTTTCAGAATCCACTGAAGCCCTTCACATTATATTAATTGAGTTTCATTCCACCATCCCCTTCTGAAATATTAAGCAGACATGAAATTACTTCATTAGGCAGAAAATGGCATTAGCCTGGCTGTTACATAGCAAAATGTCACTATATTCTTGAAGGTTTAGTCTTATTAGACTGTAAATTGGCTTTAACCCATTCTTGGAGAACCTGGGTCCATTCAACTCATGAGTAAATACAGGTTCTACCATTTCCCTGCCACCTACTGTTGGCTAGAGCATGTTGGAACTTATAGTTTCACATGGGCTGGAGGTACTGTGTGTAAGTAGTCATTGCTGATTAAATGAGAACCAGTCACAGCTTGCGTATGTAAGATGCTAAATAGTCCGTCTTCTATGATTATACCTGTGTGGGCTTACCTATGAAAGATTTATAATTAACTACTTATTTAGCTTTATTTACTTCAATTGAGTTTGACATGTTTGCGTTCTCCGGTGAAGGGGAAAAGCTGGTGATGGCAGTGCTGTAGGCACCATTGGGTCCCTGCTGCTTCCCTCCCACCCTTCTCCATGATGTTGCCGAGCTGTTCACCGAGGAGACAATGCTGGGAGGCAGGGGAAAGCCTGTGAAGGAGAGATGCAGCTCTGGCATGACGTGAGGGACAAGTGGTACAGATCTATGGTGTCTAGATCTACAGTACTAATCTCTCCTCATGGTTTTGCTCATCTCTTCAGCATCATTGGACTTCTATGTCACCGGTCCTGTACCATTCTGCTGCCACTGATCACCAATGGCTCCTTTCTTATTCTGCATCACTGCAACTGATCCCTGCTGCTTCTCTTCTATCCTACTTTAGGACAAATGATCTCTGCTGTGTTCTCTTCTATCCTGCTCCACCACCACTGATCCCTGCTGCCTCCTCACCCAATCTGCCTCACTACCACTGATCCCTGCTGCCTCCTCACCCACTTTACCTCACCACCGCTGATCACTGCTGCCTCCTCACCCATCCTGTCTCACTACCACTGATCCCTGCTGTCTCCTCACCTGTCTCACTACCACTGATCCCTGTTGCCTCCTAAACCATTCTGCCTCACCACCACTGATCCCTGTTGCCTCCCTACCCATACTGCCTCAACACCACTGATCCCTGCTGCCTCTTCACCCATCCTGCCTCCACACCACTGATCCCTGCTGCCTCCTCACCCATCCTGCCTCAACACCACTGATCCCCGATGCCTCCTCAGCCATACTGCCTCACTACCACTGATCCCTGCTGCCTTCTCACCCATTCTGCCTCACCACCACTGATCCCTGTTGCCTCCTCACCTGTCTCACTACCACTGATCCCTGCATCCACCTCATCCATTCTGCCTCACCACCACTGATCCCTGCTGCCTCCCCACCCATTCTGCCTCAACACCACTGATCCCTGCTGCCTCCTCACCCATACTGCCTCACCACCACTGATCCCTGATGCCTCCTCACCTGTCTCACGACCACTGATCCCTGCATCCACCTCATCCATTCTGCCTCACCACCACTGATCCCTGCTGCCTCCCCACCCATTCTGCCTCAACACCACTGATCCCTGCTGCCTCCTCACCCATACTGCCTCACCACCACTGATCCCTTCTGCCTCCTCAGCCATTCTGCCTCACTACCACTGATCCCTTCTGTCTCCTCACCCATACTGCCTCAACACCACTGATCCCTGCTGCCTCTTCACCCATCCTGCCTCTACACCACTGATCCCTGCTGCCTCCTCACCCATACTGCCTGCCCGTCACTGATCCCTGCTGCCTCCTCACCCATCCTGCCTCAACACCACTGATCCCTGCTGCCTCTTCACCCATCCTGCCTCTACACCACTGATCCCTGCTGCCTCCTCACCCATCCTGCCTCAACACCACTGATCCCTGCTGCCTCTTCACCCATCCTGCCTCAACACCACTGATCCCTGCTGCCTCCACACCCATACTGCCTCACCACCACATCCTGCTCCACTATGCCACCTATTTTTAGGTCTGACTTCACTGAATCCACACTAAATCTCACTGCCCGCTGGCCTCTGGCTAAGCTGTAACTGTTCCCCTAATTTGGATGCCATATCACTGTTCCCGGCTGACCCCTCTCCTGTCACTACGTCCTCTCAGCAATGTAACGCACACCGGGGAGGAGTGTGTTCTACCCATGCTCCACTTGAACATGGCAGAGATCCTTTTGAGCACCTACGAAACTCTGTTCTGTGCTTTCTAACTATAAATTAAGTTGGAATCCAGTCTTACATTTCAAGTAGAAGCTTTGGAAAGAGATTTGAGCAGTTGTCATACAAATTCTTTGAGCTCCTGAACTTTGTAAGGATCAGAGCTGTCAATATTTGTGAATAGTAAAGGAGTGCTGAGAGCCAACTAATATAGACTGCTGGGATCCTGTCATTCTAAGAGCATCAGGTAGGCGCATCAGTCAATGGTACTGTCATTATGGCATCATGGCAGGGGTAGCAGTGACTTTGGCTTCCAGAAAAGAGGACCTGTTGCAATGAGCTCATGCAGATGTGCTATTCACTGAAACTACCAGTAAAGATGATGGCATCCAGCAGAAGTCTTAGTCAGGGGACCAGCTGATTCTGCAGGATACATACATTTTTAAAGACCTAGGAGCACCATCCATTGTAAGTGATTTCATCAGCATTTGAAATACAATAAAAAAACGTAAGAATTTAATATCACTTAACCCAAACAAATACCCCTACATCTTTGTGGATTGCCACTGTTGCACTTTATGCTTGCGTGTTTACGAAAGTATGACATTTGTTAAGATAATGAAGGCATCCTTTGTACAAATTCCAATCGGTCTATGAATGTAGTGCATTCTATATTTGGTTAAGCATCTGCATTTTCACTCAGTATTCCTTTCCTTTGTGTATTTCAGGCATCAGATCTGATACATAAAAAGAAAATTATTTCACCGGGAGCCAAAAAAACAGAATGCAGTAAAGTGAAAAACAGGTAATGTCCAATTAGACCTTTTACCTCTCAGAGCGTTGATGTATAAATGTCGGCTTGCTTCAGCGCAAAGTAATCATAAAGGTCGTTACCTTGAATGAAAAAGGTCACTCCCAAGAAATGAGATCTGAAGAAGCGTGATGGGATTCAGGGTTTTACATGTCTCTGTTTGGGCAGCTTTAAGCAAACCTTGCAAAACCGGAACAATCTTTGTAGTAATTCCGTAATAATTTGCTTTCTGTTTGGCACAACAGTCAATGAAGGGCTTTGACCTCTGGATGGATGGCATGTCCTTCTTCTCCAGCCTTCTGGTTGTTTCAGATCTTTCCAGTTCACTATTCTCACCTCATATCTTTATCCTTAGGCTTTCTTAATACATATCACTCACCCTGTTACTTCTTTTAGACTTTTTAACCTGTGCCCAGCCTACAGGGTTAGGTATCTCTTTTTGTCTCTGTCTTTACTGGAGAATTCCACAGCAAGGAGCATCTATGTTTTTCGCTGAGATAGCTCTAAGGGTCCAATGGCCATGGACAACACACCCAGTGGTGGAACTACCGCCGGTGCCAGCGCACCGGGGCCTAAGCCTACAGGGGGGGCCCAGTATCCATTCAAACACAGCCCCGGGGCAGAGATGGGGGGGGGGCTGTTGGTGTGGATAAAAGTCCATTTATTAATGGAGGTCTGTCATTCCAGTTGTACTGGAATGACAGTCCTCCATTAATAAATGGACGTTTGTTGATCTCACTTAAATGGTGTGCTGGTGACATCCTTTTGCAAACTTGTATATCTTCACGGCGACATCCGTAGTCACTACTAGCACCCACCATGATTTCAAGGAACATCCTATACCGGTAAGGAGTGCAGCAAGACACCTATATATTACTTATGTCAAAAGCTCAATTGACCAAGCTCTCTCCACCCTCCAAGTAGTAACTCAGCAGTGCAGCTCCTCCTGCCCCCTATGTCCCAGTAATGACTCTGCAGATCAGCTGCCTCTGCTTCCCCCTTCCAGCAAAGACTCCACAGTTTAGACCTGGAGGGCCAGAGTTGCCCACCCCTGATCTACACTGAGTGGCCAGATTATTATGACCACCTGACGTTTGTAGGCAAATTAGCTATAATTTTGCGCTGAAGTTGCTGGAGGGCCAGACCATTATAAATAGGGAAGCAGGTTGTTTACCACGACAGTAGAAGTGATTTGTTTTCTGAAGATACGGGGAAACAACGCGATTTAACAGCCTTTAAACGTGGGATGATTGTTGGCGCTCGGAGCCATGGAGCGAGTATCAGCAAAACAGCAGAATCTGTTAAATGTTCAAGAGCAGCTGTTGTTAAAGTGTTTAAAGACTGGACTGTCAGCCGAAAATCTGGGTCTGAACGTGCAAATTGTGGCCGTCAGCGACTAGTCAATGTTAGGGCAGAACGGGGGAGGGGCAAGATTGGTACAAGACAACAGAAGGGCAACAGTGCAGTGTCAGATTCCTCATATCACCTTTCATCATCTCGTGGAGTCACGAGGCGGCCCAATGAAGTCATCTCGTGGCCCATTGAAGTACTGATGGGGTGGTCATAATAATCTGGCCACTCAGTGTATATCTACACAAAAAAAAAACCATGTAAATATTAAATTAAAAAAACCTAAACTACCCCAAATGCAATCCAAAAAATACCCCCTAAATAAAGAAAATTGTGCCTCGGTGGAATTTCACTGGAAAAACAATTCTACCAAAATCTCCAGAAAGTTAATTTTGCCTAAGCAGTACACTCAAAAAAGCACCTTTTGTCTGCATTTCCTCCTGTAAAATAGCAGTGCTGTGCCTAGGCACTCCGGTTCTGTAGCCTCTTATCTTAGCTGTATATCTGCAGTGTGAGATCTAAGGCACTGCTACGCCAACTGCTAGTCTCTAGATTTAGATTGAGATTTGGTGATGTCACTTCTGTGTTGCTCACTGTTCTCCTTGCTGGAGGCTCTGATATGAGGAAGCAAAGCCCTGCCTCTACCCAGATGGCGGCCTCCACACAGTGCAGAAAAAGGTATACTAAGGCAGTTATGGAGGGACGATCGGCTGCAGTGAGATCACCGGCTAATGACTAGTCCTTTGTCCCCTACCTGACTTATATACTGTATATGTTTATGTATATATATATTTATATATATATATATATATATAAAGCATGTGTTAAA